CTTTTGAAAACATAAAATTATCCACAACAATATAAGAAATGGTGCAGATCCTCCAATTATTTCCTTTATCACATCTCCAATTATAAAAATCTGAATTATCTAACTATCAAGAACATTTAGAAAAATAATATCAGCCCAATGTATGTGCACATACATTGGGCTGATATTGTCTTTCTAATTGTTCTTGTTCAATAAATTTTGCTCAATTTGTCACATAATTCTTCAAGGGGCTAAGTTCCTACAAGCAACTTGCAATAATTTACAAGGTAAACTAGGTTTGAAAAGTTCTAAGGATCCTGTACCCTCTTGAGAGTCATTTTTCAATCAATGGTCTATGAACAATGTCCCATGGCAAGCATTTCAAATTGTGCATTTAACCCCATACTGATACAAGTACATCCACAATTTCACTACCTGTATGATTGCAAAGCAAAACTTAAAGAGAGAAATGACTCACAGCTGCTATCTTCATTATTATAGACAATAAAGATACATTTCTTAAAGGTCAAATGCACCGGTGACATTAGTAACAAGTCAATAACAGATTAAACAATAATATTTCAAGAATATAAGTGTAACAAGCAACTGAATCAAAGGAAACTAACAAACTCCATGCAATGGAATTGATGACTGACCAGCACTTCCTGACCTGTTCGCTGATAAATTAGAATTTATTTAGGGGGTAACTTAATTTTGTATGAATGTCAAAGAACAAAGGAATATGAGGTGTGATTAAAATTTTCTTTACTCCAAGGGCATTCTCAAATTTTGTTATTCTTTATCTTAAAATTATCAAAAGCAAACTTTTTCCCTCTAGCCAAGAAAAAAAAATATAGGTATGTTTGCCTATGCACTTTAAAGAGAAATTTGAAAAAATGTTTAATAGGCAAAATTCTTAGAGTAGAGCTGTGTGTTAACAAATTTAGCAATTATAATTAAAACAATTTACTAATCTATAGGTAAATAGCACCAAGTGCCTTTTCTTGATCTACAAGAATCTTGTGGATCTTTCAAGCCTTTGTTGTAAGAATCCTCTTAGTTGGTTAGGAAAAATTTGGGTGAAGCTTAAGTGAAAAACATCATGATATTAAACCAAATTTCCATCAATCAATCTCCTAAGTATATTTAAAGAGATTACTGCAAAGAGTTTAGAAACAAATATTTGCATATTATCATCAAAATTTAGTTTTTATAGACTCTTAACTCTGTAATTTTGATTTATCAAAAATTACGAGTTAATAGTGTTATTTCTTGAGTAGTAATTATAAATATTAACCCACACTTTTGTGAAAATCATGCAGTTGATAAATATTGCATGGTGCTACTCACAAACAGAGCTCAATGGCCTCAGGAAGTCATCAAAGCCTTACAGGTTAATGAGCAAGAACAAGATGGAGTTAGCCTTTAAAATTCATACAACATAATACTGTTGAATAATATTAGTAAAACAAATGATGTGGATATTTCTCTACACTAAACCTGTTACTTCTTCTAGCTCTATGTCAAAGTAAATTCTTGTGGTTAATGACATGGTATTCAAAAAACTTTTACAAATAATGCCTAGAATTTATGTCATTATAATTTTTTTAAAAAATTAATGTGAAACAGATTGTGTACAAAAATGTTCATATAATCTTTTTATATTAGAAGAGGTCAATTATTATATAATATTTCCAAAAAAAAAAATTACCAAATTTATGTTAAGCCAATAGTGTGTACACTTTTATAAAAGAAGCAAGTGGCAAAAATTTCCCACTTTACTTCTCTCAAAGGCATTCCACCAAATTGCTTTTGACTATATGTAAATAAAGGTAACTTAATTTTCAAATGCTTAACCATATACAACATGAATTTGAACAAAGTAATTAAGTATTATTGTGTTTATCTTTAAACCTCTTCCACAGTGGCAGGAATGATTTTTGTTCTTTTATCCACATGCAGATAAGTTTTATTAGCTTCAGTTTGAATGGGAGTTTGATTGGTTTTACACAAATTGATGTTAGACCAGAAAAGCTAATTTCTTTGTCTATAAAAACATACCAATCCCACAGATCATTGACGAAAGAGGTTTATTTGAACTTCATAATTTCAAAGGAATGAATCCCAGCTCAACCTAAAGTGGTTTTTTTAATTTTTCACAGGTAGTTTAATACTTCTTAACCTACCTTCCAGTCCTTGCCTTGCTCTTTGTCTCCTGGCTTCATCTGAGTCTTTATGAAGCATGTTCCTTCAAAAAATTCATTGTTCATGACCATTCAAATACATTTTCAACATCTAAAATTTTGTATGGTGTTATTCCAGAGGGAGAATACCCTTTTTATACTCAGTTGTAATTTGTATATCTCTTAATGTCCTGGTCCTATTTCATTCCCAATTCCAGAACCTGGTTTCAGAGAGTTTGTAAATCAATCATCATGTTAATGGGTATCAGCCTTCAGTTTAGCTACATGTGTTTATCTGGCCCATCCCATAATCTTTCTTTGGAGATTTATGGGATCAATCTTGTTTTGGACAAACATGTACATGTGATGACTACAACTCAAGAACAACTGTTTCAGGGAATGTGCATGAGTCTGTGCATTAATGCAGCCTCAATGCCCCTTAATTCTAGGGAATACTTTGTAAGTGTGTATACACACCCCTAAAGTAGCTAACTACAGAAACAATCCCAAGTAAATAAAACAGTCTCCTACCCATCAAGAGCAAAGTGAATTGCCAGCTGATCCACACTTGATGTTGGTTTATAGCATTTTTCCTGTGTATGAAAAAAAAGAACATGTCTTCACTATCCTAAATATTAACAAAGAAAGAAACTTACAAGTATTTTTTTGCTACAATGTATATGAATGTAATTTTAGATAGAAACCATATCCACACACTTTCAGAGTTGAGAAGTCAATTACATCTACAGGTGAGGGTGTCAATCACTGTGATGATGGAGTGGAAGGAACCTTTTTTTTAATGTCATCTCACTGTTTCATTGAACAAGTGCTTTCTGATTTATGCCAATGTACATGTTGATATTTTTCAGATTAAATTTTTCCCAGTGCACGTAAAAGTGGTACACTGGTAGTAGTTTGATTACACACTTTCCTTTCTTCAATGATCATGGTACGTAATGCACCTAGAAAACTACATGTGGACTTGTAAGTAAATAAATAAATAGCATTTATTCCTGAAATTCATTTTAAACTACAAACATATATTTTCAGAGCTTACTCTGTAATTTCCATAGGTTTGTTTTGAGAGTGGACATAAATATTGGAAAAAATTCTTACCTTGAAACTGTAGCGCACTATGTTGCTTGGAGCATGGGGGTTGTTTGCAGTCAAGATCCTGGTAAACTCCTCTTTCAACTCTGCCTCTGTCAATTCTAGCTGGTCATCTGGCTTGATTAGCTGTTTGGGCTGGAGTAAAAAATTAAATTTTGATGTAATGATTGTAGGAAGAAAAAATTGTTCTCACTTTAGATGAATGATCAGTGACTAACTACTGTACATTTATAGCTGGCTACTTTGATGTGGACAATGGCAATGAGAAGGAATTATTTATGATACCAAAAACATGACCAAGCTGAAGATACCTGCATCCATTCATCCAAGTCATCTCCTATTTGTGTAGCATCATCATCATCCTAGAAAAATAAAAATAACCATTCATGTGTCAGCGCGTAAATGTACATGTACTCGCAATATCGATGTATAGAGAGTAGATGAAATTGAAAATGGATTGCTTGTCTCTTTTGTACCTTTTTAACCTTCATCTACTATGAGAGAAAGGTTTATTAACCCTATTGTTCCCATGAGTGACCAAAACAGAATTTATCCTCACAATATCAACAAATTTTATAGCAAAAGGGTGATGAGAGGTAATTTAGTAAAATATCACCTTAGGAAAGTGCCAAATTCTCAGAGCTAAAACTCAAGAAGAGCATTGCAGATAGTGCAGAGAACTGACATTTTTATCGTAGGAGTGAATTTAAAGGTTAATTAAGTGCTAGATTCCCTATGCACTAGCCACTAAAGAGGTAAAAAAAACAAATTGCAAACCTTTTTCTTTGTTTTGACAGCAGCAGTTTTGCTGACAGACTTCACAGCTGCATTTGAAGGAGTGACTCCTGGTTTCTTGTCCTTTCAGGATAAAACATGAACACAACCACTTAGAGTAATTTTTAAAAGCCAACGGTAATCCAGGATTATTAGGAATCTTGCACTTAACATCATCGACCAAAAAAGTGAAACTTAATAATTACCCAACCATGATCTTAGCTTTTCAGGTTTTCCTGTAGTTCTAGCAGGTTAAAATTTCCCAATGTGAGTCCTTATGTTTCTTTCTAGTATATAACATTTGTTTTGATTTGTATGTATTTATGATGCTATCTAAGGTTAATAATTTTTCAAGAGGTCGAAAGAAAATTTGACTTCATGATGAGAAACTAGTGACAACTAGAAAATCCTGACTGCTCCTCACAATAAATCAAGATGAGAGCAAGATGACAAATGCTGTGCTCAAGACAGTTGGCTGTTGATGATTCGTAGTTTGGAGGAGAAATATTTTCAGCCTATGATCAGGACACTGGGAGATTTACGCGCTGCATGCTTTAGGTGTAATTTTCCCATAAAGAAATGCATCATCTTGCAATATGTAAAGTTTTATTTGCATGATTATGAACGATTAATCGCCTGTAATGCGAAATCAACCCCTTTGCCACTGTTACTTGAAAACGACTTGCTTCAAAACAGACATGGCGGACAGCAAGGAGTAACATGACGACGCAGCCGAAATAAAGAGGGTAAACTCACCGCTTTCGCAACCTTAACGTTTCCTTTCTTCATAACGTTGAAAAAAGTATTCAGAGGTTACTTTTTCCGACTTTAAGCTGCAAAATCAAACTCAACAAACCGCGTTATCAAGACTCGCTTTTCGGAACAAGGTAAGTTAGTGTTACCCTGGTAACAGGCCTTGGCTACCAAGTTCAGGCGAGGTTGCAAAGTAGCAATATGGCAGACGAATCAACCTGCGAACGGGAGAAGGATCTATCTGACAGTGACTCTTGTGAGAGCTTTCAGGACTCAGAAGAAGCACCTGATAGACTCTCAACTTCGTCAAAGCAAAGTTCATTAAAAGATTCAAAATCGATCACATCAAAAGTCAAGAAAGATTGGAAAAGGAGGTTTCGCTATTTATCGTACAAGGACTTTTTGGTTCAAACGAGGTCGTTGATCAGCATGAACGATAAATCAATCGTTAAAGACCTTTCTGCAACTGCGTCAGAGAAGATTAAAAGGACAGACGAAGAAGCGGAAAGTATATATGCAGATGACAAAGGGTATTTTCGGGGAGAAATTTTCGAAGAACTGGAAAGTGATGATAACATTGGTTTTGCTGGTGACGTCTGCAAGCAGCTGAATCTGTTGCCAAATATGGACGTCTCTGATCATGAACCAACTACAATAGATGATGGTTCTTTTAGGACCGATTTGCAGACAGACTCTTTTACTCCAGAGATTGTCGTTGTTCCAAGTTCGCGATTTGTTCGTGAACTAAAAGTTGAAAAATTTAATATGAATTAATTAGTAGCAAATTATTTCAGATAGGTGCATTAGTTTGCCTTCTTTTCCCTGAAAAATACGGTACAGAAGTTTTTTTTTTATCTTTCGGTGTATATGTTTACGTATTCGCGTTTTGTATTTCAGTTGTCTAACAATATATATGCCATTCTTGCTTGAAAATGTTGTTTCAGCTTTCGAAGTGTAAATAGCAAAGAATGCATTTGTCAACAAAAGTTAACGAATAGTAGAAGACAGTTGGGACAGTAAATGGCGAAATATTATGGAAGATGTCGCCTAAAATGATATGGCGCGTAAACCCTAGAATAATGCAGCTTTAATGCATTCTGGGAATGCAGCCTTTACCTTCAGGGTCGGAAGAGGAAGCAAATGTTTTCTTGCTTGAAAATGTTGTTTCAGCTTTCGAAGTGTAAATAGCAAAGAATGCATTTATCAACGAAAAATTTAACGAAGAGTAGAAGACAGATGGGACAGTAACTGGTGAAATATTATTCAAGATGTCGCCTAAAATTGTACGGCGCATAAACCTTGGAATAACTTAGCTTTAATGCATTCTGGTTCTGCAGTCTTTACCTTCAGGGTACCGGTCGGGATAAATCGTCATCCACTGAATACGGATGTAATCCTTTACACCCCAACATCAGTATCCATAGTCTCTATACTCTTCTCTATACATTTCCTTTAGTACTGACAAGGATAATTTGTTTAACAATCAAAGCTTCTTTGGTTGGCGATCATTTGCTTTATTCTTATGATCTTAATGAATGATTCAGCTGTATGACTGTAAGAAGAAATTAGATGCTGGTCACTCTCAGGGTTTAGAGAGTGAAACCCATTCTATGTATAGAACTTTTCGCCAGCTACAGCTATTTCCGATAGCCTGCGTTATCGATATGTTTGGACGCGAGCCAAAAACTGGCTCCAGTGAATAAAGTCAACTGTGAATGATAAACTTTCCTCGTAGATTATATTAAAACAGCTGGGAAAAAATATCTCTCTTTTTGTTTTCTTTCGTTTCGATTTTGCTTTGTTTATTTGCGTTTTTTCACTCACAAACACGCATGGCATAAGAAAAGCTGTACAAAGCTTTCGCGAGCATCATACATTCTGGTTTGCGAGACTCGGATGATAGATGCTTAATCGCAGTGTTCTCAAGGCGTTCATATACACAACAAATTTTATAATCCTGCGTTTTTACACACTGTTCCTAGATGACTTCATCTTATCTATTTTGGTGCTGTTTTAAAATTTATTTAAACGCAGATCATCACTGAACCAAGATGTAGCACATGGCTTTGAAGAGAGAACGATCACCGCAAGCTGTGGTGTCAACACCAAACCCTATTACAGAATCACATGTACGGCAGTCTTTTTCGTTGTTCCCAAGGATTCCGACTCTTGCTTTGCGACTGGCCTTGGTATTGAATCCTTCCTGGTTGCAGTTGAGCTGAAGACTAGCCCTTGAATCAGTCAGCGCTATCCACTTGTTCCGACCCAGTGAAGTAGGCCGATACTGACCATCAGCAATCAGAGAGTGGAGAGAGGAAGCCTGGCTGTTGATTATGGTGAACCTCAACTCTCCGTTAACCTTCATACCGAGACAGACCTTGGAAAAAGGTGTGTTCCAGTACGTCTGTAATTTGGTCTCTTGTGAATCGAAGCCAGTCGTTGCACCAGACGGATTGTATTCGCTTTTGTTAGTCCAGTATCCCGAACTGAACGGAAAAGTGTTCTGCGAAATAATTGTATAAGAGTAAATAATCAATCCCATGCAAAGATAAGCATCAAAAGTAGTAACCAAGAACATTGTGTATTGTGATTCAGAATCGATTAAAGTTACGCGCCTGGCAAAATTTCCCGTTTAAACCGCCTCTTTTTTTATATTTAGGGGGAAAAGAAAGAAAAGTAGAAGAATATTTGACCTGACCTGCAACGCATCTGCGCAATATTACATACTCCGCTATGATTCTTCGTCGCGAAAACCAAAATATTTTACTGTGGCACGAAGCTCGAGTCAGGCTTTAAAAGTTAGGGGTATGAGAAAAAGTACAAGGGTTTGTTCGATATAAATGAAGTGAGACATCTGTGGTTAGAGATACTTGAATTCTTTACTTCAAATTAGTGAGTAATGTATTTTTCTGCAGACCCTTGGAAGGAAAATTTTTACAACAAAAGGTAGCAACCTACCTTGTTGCCATCAATCTTCATAACTGGTGTCCATCCACCATCTCCACATCCAAAATCTCCCATTTGACAGAGAACGGAAGTTGTGTTCGAGCCAAAGTGTAGGGTAACCAACTCGCTGGCGTTCGACCTGTTTTGGGAACGAGATCAGTTTTAAGAATTACGTTGATTTTTATTTCTCCAAAATCTATTCGATCCAGTAATTCTTTAATTGATGTTAAGTTTTACGCATTATAAATGACAAGAATAAGCCCTGAATATTTTTGATTGAATGAAACTAATTTGGAAACACAAGAGAAGATGATTTCTGACGGTAACTCAGCAGATAACCCCTTTATTAAGTTCTTAATTCGCCCTTTTTAGTGTCTAAAGTAAGAATTTAACTTTATCACCGACTGCATCCCAATCTAGAGTTAAAGATTGAATTAAATATCGAGTTTTTCTCTCGTCATTGATATAAAACAAGTTTCAAACCTACTTGTATGAATTGTACGCATCTTTACAGGACTTGAAGCCTAAGTATGAGTTAAAGAATTGCGTGTTACAAATGATGTCACTGGCATGCAGCAAGGGTAGGAGTTTTCCGTTAAATCTTTAACTCTTCTTCGCCTGAAACCGTTGAAGTAATTAACAATTATTAACTGAAGTGATGGTGAATATCCATTCCTCACAGGGGATGTACAGTGCTCCATCAAACGAGTTCGTCAGAGGAAGCCTTTGTTGAAGGCCCAAATGTAATAACTGTCCTAAATATAATAACATTTGGTCCTAAATGTAATAACATTTAGTCCTAAATGCAATAAGCCTCCAATGCAATCGTTTAACTCCTTCAGTCCATTGTTGTTATGGCGGACATCCACATTGAGATGTTAAAGTGACAGCTATTGCACAAAAACCGCTGACCAGTATACATGTCACATTACGGGCTCGCCGATATCAATCAGCGTCTCTTTACTTGCTAGACATAAGAAATATCAGCAGTCGAAGTATGGTCCTTTGAGCGGTTTATTGATCGAGTTGAAGAAAATCATTTCCAGCCCAAAGTGGGCTAATGCTTGGCTGGAAGCTCATTAGGATGGAATCGATTGGTACGTAATCATTAGGACTTTTTGGAAAAGAAATTGACTACAATTGATGATGAACTAGCATACTATTGTTGATGTCATCGTTCCTGTTAAATTCTTTAATAGTGATGCACCATTTTAGAGCAGTTTGAATGATTTCGCTGTGTCACATGTTAATCCAAAAGAAAAGCAATATTATCAGTAGTATTACTGAGTTTGCACATCAATGTTATTCAGTATCAATTGATTTTAATGAAGCATTTGAGTTCATTTTTAAGACTGACTATCTTAATTTATTCAATTTTGAACTTGGGATATTGCATTTCTAGCCCTCTATGGCTTTACTCCACTTCAGTAATCAGTTCATGTACCATATGACTATAAGTGGAAACTGTTGCGCTTTCTCTTTTCATTCAGCGTTCTCATTGCTTTTGCATCCGTCAATTTGATGCCAAAAGCACATCAGTATAAGGTTTTGTAGCCCATGCTTCTCAACCTACGTCTTTAGCAAATAAAAAGACGCTGATTAAAATCAGCGAGCCCGCAATATTCCATGAATATTGGTCAGAGGATTCTTTGGTGCAACAGCTGTCACTTTAACATCTCAATGTTAGCGCAGTTAAACGATTGCATAGGAGGCTTATTACATTTAGGACCAAAAGTTATTACATTTAGGGCTTTATTACATTTAGGACCTAATAATATACATGGAAAAATTACTTAGTTCCGATTGGTTAAGATAAATGCAGTTTTCAGGTAATTCAGTGCAGAAGAGAGTTAATTAAGTACAGAAGAGGGTTAATTCAGTATCAAGAAACAAACAAATCAGACATTCTGATTGGTCAATAATCAAAGAAACTCACAGATAGCCAATCAAATGCGAGCCTTGGATGTCGCAAAAAAATTTGAAAATTTGAAAATTTGCGAGCGAAACAATGGCCGGTGTTTTAAGTAGGCTTTCTTTCGCCACACGCCGAAGTTAAAAACAAACATGGTTAAACCTCGGAAACGACGATTCCATTTCATCGAAAGTGATTTGGACACAGACTGAACAATTCCTTGAACTGTTTAGCCTGACTTTGAACCTTTTTTGCACCTTAAAGATGTGAAGATATCATTGCATAATTTATTATTATAATAAAGTTTCGGATATAACGCGCGCTCTCATTGGTTGAAAGAGCGTGCTCTATGAGAGTATAGAGCATAGAACTGAGCTAAAGCTGTCACGCCATCTGCCAAATTGTACCATGTTCGACCTTTTCCGGGACTTCTTTTTAGCTTTTTTCCGATAATTGAAAGTGAAATTTCGGAACAAGCGAGCCGGCAAGTAGTAACAGAAGAACCAAAGAAAGGTTTGTAAACATACCAGGCGCCGTTATTTACGTTATTAAAACGTGGGCAGATACGAAAATCCTCAAAAGGAAAAACAAAATAGACATTCCGAGTTTTAAAGATTTTCACGCTCAGTTAGATTGCAAGCTTACGTACGGTAATGAAAATCAAACACAGCCAACACTCGTATAGTCTATAGAGTTCAGAGTTCAAAAACAAAACAGAACAAAACAGAAATGATGAAAAATATAACCAAACTGGCATAATTGTTAAAATTCATACTAATCATGACGGTGTCTGAGCAAATATGATCATGCTGAAGTCCATCGCGGCTCACTTATCATGCCGATCTCCGGTCATCACTGTAAAGCAAGCCTCAGAAACTACATCGGCCGCCCTTCGAGTGAAAAAATAAGAGCTCGCCCTGATATCCTTTCCAATGTGTTGAGTAGAAAGTCAGTTCAGTCACTGCAGCCGAGTTTTGCGGCGCTGTCATCCCGAGCGATCTTCATGTTCCGGTGAATTCGGCTGTCGTTCATTTAAAAAACACTCGCCTTGAACAGTTTGTTTTTTACCTTGTCATGTGAAAAAACCCGCGTGTTTTTATGAGCCATAATTCGGCTGAAGTTCACTGAACATTTCACTTCAAAATTCTGATTTAAAAACTTCAGGCAAAAGCGTTAAATTCGACCTGCCGAATTATTTTAGTTTGTAAACTATCGCAGAGTGTGAACTTTGATGGTTTTTGAACTTTGATGGTTTGACACTTTTCACAGCTTTTGTCTTGTACAGCCAATCAGATTATTTGAATCATTCTAACAGGGATTCTGGCTTATTGTAGCGTGCTCTATGAGAGTATAGAGCATGCTGACGACACTGTTCTTCGCATTGGAAATAAAGTTTGTTTTGAAAATTGAAAGTAATACATGGGGAATTTAACGGATTCTTTATTATAAAACAAATAGAGAAGCCTTGACTGTGCTCTGTTCTGTTATAAAGCACTCAGGAATCGGCTAGCGCACTCAAGAAGTGGGAAGAAATACTAGACTACGTCTCGTGTTTCTCCCTACACTTCTTTCGTGATCTAGCCGCTTCCTACGTGCTTTATAACAGAACAGAGCACAGTCAAGGCTTCTCTATTTGTTAATTGTTTTGATCGTACGCGGTTGTTTTAACCGAAAGCAAGGTTTGAATAAATTTGCACTTGACGCGCGCGCTTTGCTTATGTTTAATTATGATAAGCCATCTCGTATTTTTTCATGTATATTATTAACACGTAATCACATGGTTTTTCTCGTGCAATTTGGAATAAACAAGCACTTGTTGATATTTTCAAAGACCACAAATTGTTAGTCTTTAAAAAAATTTACTCGTCCTTATTTATTCCAAATTGCACTCGAAATCATGTGATTACCTATACAAATGTTATTACATTTAGGACCAAATGTTATTACATTTAGGACTTTACTGTGACATTTAGGACAGTTATTACATTTAGGAATTCAACAGCCTTTGAAAAAATTCAGTTAGGAAAGAGGTCAATTGTAGGACCAACGCAATGATCACTCAATTGGCTAATCACTCAATTGTAAGACCGACGCAATGATCACTCAATTGGCTAATCACTCAATTGTAAGACCGACGCAATGATCACTCAATTGGCTATGTGTTGTTAATATACTAAAAGCATACTGCTCTTGGGGCAAGGGAATCCCTGGATAGGGAGCCAAATTTTATGCAAATAAATGCCAATCCAACCTAGCAATTGCAAGTAACGTCTAACCTTTCTCGCAGAAATCTCCAATGAAGCCTTTCTTGCAGAGGCATTCAAAGATGCCATTTTTGTAACTTGGTACACAGGTCCCTTCATTTTTGCATGGCGAGGAAGAACAAGGAGACTAAGGAGAAGAAGAAACATTTAATAGTTGAACAATGATATCATATGGGTCTATTTTAAATAAAATTTCACTCATAATAGAGCCTACTGCTAAACAAAAGAGGTAAAGAGTAAGGTTTCAGATTACTCCCCCCCCCCCTTCCCCCGTCCTTACAGCGAAGCTTTAGGCTTCTTAAGTACTTAACAGTAGACATTTACAATCTCGCAAAGAATATCTGTAACCTTAATGACGAAATGATGGGAGCTCTTGTTTCCAAGGAGTTCAGTGGAGTTTCTGTATTTGTCAGAAGAAAGCAGCTCGCACCAAAACTTTCCGTCGATTCCTATAGACGCGGCCAAGTTCACAGAAAAACATGACGTATGACTGAGGCACTTAAATGCACAGTCAATGCTATCATCCACTGTGTAGGATCCAATTCTGGAGACGTTCAAATAACGGAATTCTTCTCTCACAAACACATGCTGTCGAGCAGTTTGTGGGGGACGGTAGATATCATGGCCACCTGGTTGAAGCAAAAGGTAGTATATGTCAGGCAAACTCTACCTTGAATAGCGCCAAAACTTGAAAATACTCTAATTCCCAAGATCCCCTATCAATAAGAGATTATTTAATAGTTGAATCAATATCAAATACTCCGAACTAACATCTCAAGAATTGCATAACAGACAGTTAGGAGAATTACTAATGAGATCTTGGGGGTGACTGGGTTAAATTTGCAAAAACCTTTTCTTTTAACGCAACCGATGCCACATTCAAAAAGGTCCGTAAAATACACTTACTATGAGCAGTCTTCTATCTAAATCTAGAAAGGCTGCCACTCTTCATTTGTGATAAGAGAATACAAACTTAGAAAATTATATCAAGGTGAAATAGAATGAGATAAACGAATAGAGACCCATTTTTGACAAATCTTTACGTGGCGTCATCTACATAAGCATACGAGAAGTCTTTACCTTAAAAAAAACTGGTTTTAAGATGACTTTTTGTGCAGTATCAAGTTCTCATGTTTTCCTGCTTCCGCCATAGCAAAGTTTTCATAGAAAACATAGATAAACAGCTCTTTTTTGTTTCAATTGGACTTGTGAATAATTTATGATTGGATAAATGAATGGTCCGTGAGTGGATGTGACTACTGTTTATATAAAGAAGGGATGCAATTCAGTATAACTCGCTAATTTGTGGATCGTGTGCTTACTTTCTCGGAAAAATCAATTGAAAGGGATTTTACGGACAGTTGACAAGCTTCCACTTCCCCATCTATGAAATATATGTAGGGGATTTCGTCGTTATGGATTCAAAAGCTGACCCTCTTACTTTATTTTTTGTGGCCATGCAAATCATAACATTGATATTTTAACATATTTTGATAAACTTTCAACAAACTAGCTTTTAAGTAAATTAGAATTATTTGAATGAGACATCACAGGGAATGCATACGTGATGATGATTATTTTAGCAAAGTATACATATACAATATACAATGCAGGTGCTCCCAAAATATTGGTTTTAAATCTGAGTGCTCGATCGTTTGCTTATGGTATAATAGATGATTGACTTTGGGGTCTTCGAATTTCACTACTTCGCGTGTAGAGAAAATAACGTAACTGTAAGATTTCAATTTTCCAATCATACCGATTGAAAATGTAGGGAAACGTGTAGGTAAAAAAAGACCCACAGCTATATTTTAGATAGTTTAAACTGAGTTGCGAAATAGTTTAAAACAAGTCATGACAGGACGGAAAACGCGTGCACTGTAAGTACCTCCCGCTGTCCCATACAAAGCCTTAGAAAACTTTTCTAAGGCTTTGTATGGGACAACGGGAGGTACTTACAGTGCACGCATTATCCGTCCTGTCATAATGTTCAAATTCGTGAATAATTCACAAATGTCACCATGACAGAGTGAAACTCTTTATGCCCAAAGACGGAAGTTCTCTATGTGTAGGGTTTAACTCAAACTACAGCATGAAAATTAGGCAGTGTGTCCTATTCAAAATTAAAAACTTGCCTATTCGGAAACTGCACCGAGAAAGAAACCATTCATTCTATTCTGAAAACGTCTGAGGCTCGATTGAGGTCAGAGGTTTGAGGTTCGCTTCCTCAGTCATTGGGACTCAGAATTTTTTGTTTGTCCTACGCTCGTGACAAGACGAAAAAACATCTTTCTCTATTTCTTTACCGAGCTCAAAACTTACCATCTCACTTATTCTATTTCAAAACTGTTTATATTTTACATAACATGGATCTTCGGAGGATGCATGCTCAAGATCCTCTGGGGTCATTTCGTGTCGACGTCTTCGACAGCAAGGAAGACTATCGAGACAATTTTGATGAAACTTGTAAGGTACAGAAATGATTCAAATAACTGGTTCCGAGTAGATTAAAGATACGTTTTTCAAGAGACTCCGCATACTAACCTTGAGAAGCAGCTGCCTGGAGGAGCAGATTAGGCCAGATAATGAAAAGCGAACAAATAACACCTAGAAACATGGCGTAAAAGGATGTAAGTCCACAAGGGCACAAAAGTATTGAGTTAATGAAAAACCAACTGTTATTGCAACTGTGATAAAGCTTTTGCGTGCCGATTTCAACTGACCAATCAGATAACTTTTATGACGGCAGCTGCTGCGCACATTTCTTCTGTACGTATCACAAGTTGATATGTTACGTGAGGTCTGTTAAACTTTAATGATTGTTGTTTCCACTTTGATTACTGTTGAAGTAAACCTTCGATAACGTTATTAACCCAGTAAACAATTAGGATCACTTGCAAAATCCTACACAACGTTTCGTCCTTACTTGGTCTTCAAATCATTGGTTCATGGCTTGCGCGCGAGTACTTTTTCTATCGTCGCCTTGAGTTTTTATTTGCTCCTTTCCATATTTGATCGAATAATTTTTGAAATACACAGTACCATAGCTACCAGAAACATAAGCTTCTGCTAAACAATTAGATTACGAGACCGAGACTTCTATCGAGCATAACAACTGGTCAGGGAGAGGCCCGAATTAGGTATCACATGTAATAACGATAATAATGATAATAATAAAAGTAATAATAATTATTATTACAATAGCAGTAATAATAAAATAATAATAACGATAATGGTTTACTCAAAGGAGCCCACGAGATGGCTCGTCACCTATCAAAACTATCTAGACTCTTACAGTTACATGAAATAAAATGAATTTAAACTGATAGCAATTGCAAAATCAAATTAAATAAATAAAAATAAGGTGCCTATAACGCGTCAAAACGCCTTTCAAAATATTAGTAAATAATAATCTAATTATCTTAATATAAAACTACTACTTGTTCAAAGCTTAACAACGAGACAGGCCCATGCTTATATTTTATTTTATATGTGCCGCAAACTGTTCCGCTTCTTACTCTAATTACTATGTATTACAGAATAGATAGCGAGAAGCGTAGCCAATCATATTGCAGCAATTATACTTGAACGCTGCTAGATTTATGCTAATTCACATATACCTTGGTAAACACTGAGTGCCTAAATTTTCACCCTCTTTTAAGTTATGAAATCTTCCATATCGAATCAGAGGCATCCCATTCGTATAATTTGAGAAATGAACCGCTGATTTCAAACAAAGTTTGAAAGAAGAGTATCGTGACGGTTAAAGCCTCAGAAAGTGCGCTTAAATTAAACAGAAAAAAGGTAAAACAATGAAATGAAGGTAAGAAGTTTTTGACTTGAACTATCGTGTAATTTTCATCACTGCAAGCTTTGTTAAAACCTAAATATAACGCTCATAGTTGAAGGTCTATCGATGTAAATGATGAAAGATGAAAAATGAATTATTTATTGAGATAAAACTGTAGCTAAAATGAATCATTGATTGAATAAAAAAGCAATTTTTTACATAGTTCGTTTTTTTAAATTCGTTAACTTATGTTTTGCGTCGGGGATTATTGAAAAATGAAGCGGATCGTCAACTATAACCAGGTTAATTAAAAGTATATGAAGTGTAGCGGCAAATTTTGTCGAAACACTGACGTTTGAAGCCAAGCCATTTATCTATGCTTCGAAAATCAAGCCTCGAAAAGTCAGCGTTTTCAAATTTCTTGGTAGTCTACATTTTCACTAACCTTCTGCCTTGAGGATCAGTTCAGACCAGATAAATAAAACAGAATAAAAAAAAGAAACATTCGCGGCGATGGCCCGTGAATCCACCATCGAGGTTTTTTAGGCGAAAATATCTAAAACCGTCGTTTCTCCCTCAAAACAAACTGACTCTACTGTCGTTAAAACATTTCCTTAATCTCGTTGATTTTTATTGACTGACCAATCCGGCTAGATTATCCTACGGCAGGTGCTAACTACGTTTATTTTTTTTATGATCTTACTGAATGATTCAGCTGTATGACTGTAAGGAGAAATTAGATGCTGGTCACTCTCAGGGTTTAAAGAGTTAAACCCATTCTATATATAAAACTTTTCGCCAGCTACAGCTGTTTCCGATAGCCTACGTTATCGATATGTTTGGACGCGAGCCAAAAACTGGGTCCAGTGAATAAAGTCAACGGTGAATGGTAAACTTCCCAGCTGGGAAAAATATATCTCTTTTTGTTTTCTTTCGTTTCGATTTTGCTTTGTTTATTTGCGTTTTTTCACTTACAGACACACATGGCATAAGAAAAGCTGTACAAAGCTTTCGCGAGCATCATTTATTCTGATTGGCGAGACTCGGATGATAGGTGCTTAATCGCAGTGTTCTCGAGGTGTTCATATACACAACAAATTTTATAATCCCAAGTTTTTACATACTGTTCGTGGATGACTTCATCTTATCTATTTTGCAGCTGTTTTAAAATTCATTTAAACGCACATCATCACTGAACCAAGATGTAGCACATGGCTCTAATGGAAGAAAGATCACCGCACGCTCTGTTGTCAACACCAAACCCTACTGCAGAATCACATGTACGGCAGTCGTTTTCGTTGTTCCCAAGGATTCCCACTCTTGCTCTGCGACTGGCCTTGGTATTGAATCCTTCCTGGTTGCAGTTGGGCTGAAGATAAGCCTTTGAATCAGTGAGCGCTATCCACTTGTTCCGACCCAGTGAAGTAGGCCGATACTGACCATCAGCAATCAGAGAGTGGAGAAAGGAAGCCTGACTGTTGATAACGGTGAACCTCAACTGTCCGTTAACCTTCATACCGAGACAGACCTTGGAAAAGGGTGTGTTCCAGTAGGTCGGTAGCTTAGTCTCTTGTGAATCGAAGCTAGTTGTTCCACCAGACGGGTTGTATTCGCTTTTGTCAGTCCAGTATCCCGAACTGAATAGAAAAGTGTTCTGCGAAATGATTTTATAAGAGTAAATAATCAATCGCATACAAAGATAAGCATCAAAAGTAGTAAGCAAGAACATTGTGTATTGTGATTCAGAATCGATCAAAGTAACGCGCCTGGCAAAATTTCCCGTTTAAACCGCCTCTTTTTTTATTTTGAGGGGGAAGAGAAAGTAAGGTGGAAGAATATTTGACCTGACCTGCAACGCATCTGCGCAATATTAAATACCCCGCTATGATTCTTCGTCGCGAAAACCAAATTATTTTGCTGTGGCACGAAGCTCGAGTTAGGCTTTAAAAGTTAGGGGTATGAGAAAAAGTAAAGGAACATTTCACAACAAAAGGTAACAACCGACCTTGTTGCCATCAATCTTCATAACTGGTGTCCATCCACCATCTCCACATCCAAAATCTCCCATTTGACAGAGAACGGAAGTTGTTTTCGCGCCAAAGTGTAAGGTAACCAACTCGCTGGCGTTCGACCTGTTCGGGGAACCAGATCAGTCTTAACAACTACATTGATTTTTATTTCACCAAAATTTTTTAGATCCAATAATTTTTCAGTTGATGTTAAGTTTTACGGATGAAAAATGACAAAAATAAGCCCTGAATATTTCATTGAATGAAATTAACCTGGAAACTGAAAGGAGAAGATGATTTCTGACGTTAACTCAACAGATAACTCGCCCTAATTCGCCCTTTTAGTGTCTAAAGTAAGAATTTAACTTTATCACCGAATGCATCCCAATCTAAAGTTAAAGATTGAATTAAATATCGAATTTTCCCTCTTCATTCATATGAAACAAGTTTCAAACCTACTTGTATGAATTGTACGCATCTTTACAGGACTTGAAGCCTAAGTATGAATTAAAGAATTGGGTGTTACAAATGACGTCTCCGGCATGCAGCAAAGGTAGGAGTTTTCTTTAAATCTTCAACTCTTATTCGCCTGACACCGTTGAAGTAATTAACAATTATTAACTGAAGTGACGGTGAATATCCATTCCTTACAGGGGATGTACAGTGCTGCATCAAACGAGTTCGTCAGAGTAAGCCTTTTATAAATTTCAGTTGGGAAAGAGGTCAATTGTAGGACCGACGCAATGATCACTCAGTTGGCTATGTTGTCGTTAATATACTAAAAGCAAACTGCTCTTGGGGCAAGGCAATCCCTGGATAGAGAGCCAAATTTTATGCAAATAAATGCTAATCCAACCTGGCAATTGCAAGTAACGTCTAACCTTTCTCGCAGAATTCTCCAATGAAGCCTTTCTTGCAGAGGCATTCAAAGATGCCATTTTTGTAACTTGGTACACAGGTCCCTTCATTTTTGCATGGCGAGGAAGAACAGGGAGACTGAGGAGAAGAAACATTTAACAGTTGAACAATGATAACATATGGGTCTGTTTTAAATAAAATTTCACTCATAATAGAGCCTACTGCTAAACAAAGGATATACAGTCCTGTCATGTGATAGAGTAAAGAGGTAAAGAGTAAGGTTTCGGATTCCCCCCCCCCGTCCTTACAGCGAGGACTCTTAAGTACTTAACAGTACACATTTACAATCTCCCAAAGAATATCTGTAACCTTAGTGACGAAATGATGGGAGCTCTTGTTTCCAAGGAGTTCAGTGGAGTTTCTGTATTTGTCAGAAGAGAGCAGCTCGCACCAAAACTTTCCGTCCATTCCTCTAGACGCGGCCAGGTTCACAGAAAAACATGACGTATGACTGAGGCACTTAAATGCACAGTCAATGCTATCATCCACTGTGTAGGATCCAATTCTGGGGACGTTCAGATAACGGAATTCTTCTCTCACAAACACATGCTGTCGAACAGTTTGTGGGGGGCGGTAAATATCATGGCCACCTGGTTGAGGCAAAACGTAGTATATGTCAGGGAAACTCTACCTTGAATAGCGCCAAAACGTAGTATATATCAAGCAAACTCTACATAAGCAAATTTGGTGCGTTGAAAAAAAATTTCTACGAAAAAACTCTTTATCTTAAGAAAACTGGTATTACGATGAATTTTTGGGCAGGATCAAGCTCTCATTTTTTCCTGCTTCTGCCATAGCAAAGTTTTCATAGAAAACATAGATAAACTGTTTTTTTTATTTCTCTTTGGGCTTGTGAATAATTTATGATTGGATAAATGAATGGTCCGTGAGTGTATGTGACTACTGTTTATATAAAGAAGGGATACAATTTAGTATAACTCGCTAATTTGTGGATCGTGTGCTTACTTTCTCGGAAAATCAATTACATGAAAGGGATTTTACGGACAGTTGACAAGCTTCCACTTCCCCATCTATGAAATATATGAAGGGGATTTCGTCGTTATGGATTCAAAAGCTGGCTCTTTTACTTTATTTTTTGTGGCCATGCAAATTATAATATTAATGTTTTAACATGTTTTGATAAATTGTCAACAAACTAGCTTTTCAGTAAATTAGAATTATTTGGATCTTTGTCACGTTTAATGTAGTAATTGCATTATCATTTTTTAACGTGCCGACAAATCATTTTTAAGATGCGCCATTTTAAGAATGAAGACAGGGAGACTAGTTTTAATCATCCTGGACGCTTGTTACGTGATTTTCAGCATCATTTAAATGTGAGACATCACAGGGAATGCATACGTAATAATGATTATTTTAGCAAAGTATACAATATACAATGCAGGTGCTCCCAAAATATTGGTTTTAAGTCTGAGTGCTTGTTTGCTGATGGTATAATTGATGATTGAGATTGGGGTCTTCGAATTACTACTTCGCGTGTAGAGAAAATAAAGTAACTGTAAGATTTCAATTTTCCAATCATACCGATTGGAAATGTAGATAAACGTGTAGGGAAAAAAAGACCCGCAGCTATATTTTAGATAGTTTAAAATGAGTTGCGAAATAATTTAAAACAGGCTAATGTTCAAATAATTCACAAATGTCACCATGACAGAGTGAAACTCTTTATGCTTAAAGACAGAAGTTCTCTTTGCAGAGGGTTTAATTCAAAATACAGCATGAAAATAAGGCAATATGTCCTATCAAAATTATGAATTTGCCTACTCGGAACCTGCATGGGGAAAGAAACCATTCATTCTATTCTGAAAACGTCTGAGGTTCGCTTCCTCAGTCATGGGGACTCAGAATTTTTTCTTTGTCCTACGCTCGTGACAAGACGAAAAGACATCTTTCTCTATTTCTTTACCGAACTCAAAACTTACCATCTCTCTTATTATATTTCAAAATTGTTTATATTTTACATAACAGGGATCTTCGGAGGATGCATGCTCAAGATCTTCGGCGTTCATTTCGTGTCGACGTCTTCGACAGCAAGGAAGACTATCAATACAATTTTGATGAAACTCTTAAGGTAGAGAAATGATTCAAATGATTGGTTCCGAGTACTTAAAATTTGTGAAAGAGTCTAAAAGTATATTAATTAGCTTCACACAAGAATAATGAGCAAAGTTAAGTAAGATAAAGTTGGCTCTTTCAAATTTATGGAAGCAGGTTATTCCCAATTACTATCTTACAAGCTTGCCTTAAAGATACCTTTTTCAAGGGACTCCGCACACTAACCTTGAGAAGCAGCTGGCTCGAGGAGCAGATTAGGCCAGATAATGAAAAGCGAACAAATGAAAACTAAAAACATGGCTTAATAGGATGTAAGTCCACAAAGGCGCAAAAGTATTGAATAATAAAAAACGAACTGGTATCGAAACTAGATAAAGCTGTTGCGTGACGATTTCAACCGACCAATCAGATAACTTTTAAGACGGCAGCTGCTGCGCACATTTGTTCCGTATATATCATAAGTTGATATGTTATGGGGGGTCTATTAAACTTTAATGTTTGCTTAAAATTTCTCATATCTTGTTAAACAGATAGAGGAAAGTGTTTTGGTGAAGTACTTTGATAACGTTACTGACCGAGTAAACAACTAGGACTATCCTCAAAATCCTACACAAAGTTTCGTCCTTGCCTAGTCTACAAATCATTGGTTGATTCCAATCACTTTTCTCACGCGCGAGTCCTTTTCATATCGTCGCCTTGAGTTTTTATTTGCTCCTTTCCATATTTGATCGAATAATTTTTTAAATACATAGTATCATAGCTACCAGAAACATAAGTTCCTGCTAAAAAATTAGATTATGAGAATGAGATTTCTATCGAGCATAAGAATAGGTAATAGGTCCGAATAAGGTATCACGTGTAATAACAATAGTAATGATAATAATAAAAGTAATAATAATAATTATTACAATAGCAGTTATAATAACAATAATAATGATAATGGTTTACTCAATGGAGCCCACGAGATGGCTCTTCATCGATCAAAACTATCCATCGCATAAACCAAAATGAATTGAAACTGATAGCAATTGAAAAATGAAATGAAATAAATAAAACCAAGGTGTCGATGACGCGTGAAAACGCCTTTAAAAACATTGATAAATAATAATCTAATTATCTTCATTTAAAACTACTACTTGTTCAAAGCTTAACAGCGAGACAGGCTCATGCTTGTATTTAATTTTATATATGACCACAAACTGTTCGGCTTCTTACTTTAATTACTATGTATTACAGAATAGATAACGAGAAGCGTAGCTAATCATATTGCAGCAATTATACTTGAACGCTACTAGATTTATGCTAAATTCACATATATACCTTGGTAAACACTGAATACCTAAATTTTCACCCTCTTTTAAGTTATGAAATCTCATATCGCATCAGAGGCATCCCATTCGTAGAATTTGAGAAATGAACCGTTGATTTCAAACAAAGTTTGAAAGAAGAGTATCTCGACGGTTAAAGCCCGAGAAAGTGCGCTTAAATTAAACGGAAAAAAGCTAAGACAATGAAATGAAGGTAAGAAGTTTTTGACTTGAACTACCGTGTAATTTTCATCACTGCTGGCTTTGTTAAAACTTAAACGTAACGCTCACAGTTGAAGGTCTATCGATCTAAACGATGAAAGGGGAAAAATGAATTATTGATTGAGATAAAACTGTAGCTGAAATGAATCATTGATTGAATAAAAAAGCATTTTTTTAGATATTTAATTTTTTAAATTCGTTAACTTATGTGTTGCGTCGGGGATTATTTGAAAAATGAAGCGGATCGTCAACTATAACCAGGTTAATTAAAAGTATATGAAGTGCAGAGGCAAATTTTGTTGAAACACTGACGTTTGGAGCCAAGCTATTCGTCTATGCTTCGAGAACCAAGCCTCGAAAAGTCAGCGTTTTCAAATTTCTGACGGTGGCAGTCTACATTTTCACTAACCTTCTGCCTTGAGGATCGGTTCAGACCAGATAAATAAGACAGAATAAAGAAGGGAAACATTCGCTGCGATGGCCCGTGAATCAACCATCGAGGTTTTTTAGGCGAAAATATCTAAAACCGCCTCTTCTCCCTCAAAACAAACTGACTCTGTTGTCGTTAAAACATCTCCTTAATCTCGTTAACTTTTATTGACTGACCAATCCAGCTAGATTATCCTACGTTTTCATATATGCCAACTCTCCCGGATTATCCGGGATTCTCCCGGATACAGAGACAATCTCCGCTCTCCCGTACGGATGACCAAAAACCACCAGATAAAACAAAGTTTGGATCAGTTGCCCACAAAAAAAATAAGATTTAAGCTCCATATGTTCCAAAATTCCAAAATCATCTGGCTTCTCATGCTTGTATTATTGTTTCTGGCTTCATTTTCTTGCGTGATGGAAGTTGTTCGTTGCAAACAAATAGAAGAGACTTTCTTCTTTGTTACCCCTATATAAGCGAGAGTCTGATTGGATGAGTATTCAACCACTTGAAGTCCCTGATAGCTAGATCCACGTTTTTCCCGCGAAATTGCTCGGTGGGAGGTAGGGGGTCGTATTGGCAAACTCGGTCAGGGGAGGGGGGGGGGGGTGCTGGTCCGAAAAAAAATCTCCAGATTTGAGATCGCTAGAGGTTGACATCTCTGCGATTTGATAATTTTACAAACAAACCCAGTGATTAAAGATTACTATTTCATTTTGAATGTATCTAAATGCAAATGTATCAACTCGAAAAACACGCCCATATCACACGATTTTTAAAAAGCGATGGGCATTTCACGCAGAGGAAGATGAAGCAAATGTTTTCTTGCTTGAAAATGTTGTTTCAGCTTTCGAAGTGTAAATAGCAAAGAATGCATTTATCAACGAAAAAATTAACGAAGAGTAGAAGACAGTTGGGACAGTAACTGGCCAAATGTTCTCGCCTACAGTTGTGTGGCGCGTAAACCTTAGAATTACGCAGCTTCAATGCATTCTGGTAATGCATACCTTTACCTTCAGGGTACTGGTCGGGATAAATCGTCATCCACTGAATACGGATTTAATCCTTTACACCCTAACATCAGTATCCATAGTCTCTATACTCTTCTCTATACATTTCCTTTAGTACTGACAAGGAGAATTTGTTTAACAATCAAAGCTTCTTTGGTTGGCGATCATTTGCTTTATTCTTATGATCTTAATGAATGATTCAGCTGTATGACTGTAAAGACAAATTAGATGCTGGTCACTCTCAGGGTTTAGAGAGTTAAACCCATTCTATAAATTAAATTTTTTTGCCAGCTACAGCTATTTCCGATAGCCTACGTTATTGATATGTTTGTACGCGAGCCAAAAACTGGGTCCAGTGAATAAAGTCAACGGTGAATGGTAAACTTTCCTCGTAGATTATATTAAAACAGCTGGGAAAAAATATCTCTCTTTTTGTTTTCTTTCGTTTCCATTTTGCTTTGTTTATTTGCGTTTTTTCACTTACAAACACACATGGCATAGGAAAATCTGTACAAAGCTTTCGCGAGCATCATACATTCTGGTTTGCGAGACTCGGATGATAGGGGCCTAATCGCGGTGTTCTCGAGGCGTTCATATACACAACATATTTTAAAATCCTGCGTTTTTACACACTGTTCTTGGATGACTTCATCTTATCTATTTTGGTGTTGTTTTAAAATTCATTTAAACGCAAATCATTACTGAACCAAGATGTAACACATGGCTCTGAAGGAATGGCGATCACCGCACGCTGTGCTGTCAACGCCAAGTCCCATGACAGATTCACATGTATTGCAGTCGTTTTCGTTGTTCCCAAGGATTCCGACTCTTGCTCTGCGATGGATGGTATGGGTATTGAATCCTTCCTTATTGCAGTTTGGTTGAAGATAAGCCTTTGAATCAGTCAGCGCTATCCACTTGTTCCGACCCAGTGAAGTGAACCGATAATGACCATCAGCAATCAGAGAGTGAAGAGAGGAAGCCTGGCTGTTGATTACGGTGAACCTCAACTGTCCGTTAACCTTCATACCGAGACAGACCTTGGAAAAGGGTGTGTTCCAGTACGTCTGTAATTTGGTCTCTTGTGAATCGAAGCCAGTCGTTGCACCAGACGGATTGTATTCCCTTTTGTTAGTCCAGTATCCCGAACTGAACCGAAAAGTGTTCTGCGAGATGATTGTATAAGAGTAAAAAACTAATCGCATACAAAGATAAGCATCAAAGGTAGTAAGCAAGAACATTATGTATTTTGATTCAGAATCGATTAAAGTTACGCGCCCGGCAAAATTTCCCGTTTAAACCGCCTTTTTTTTATTTTTAGGGGGAAAAAAAAGAAAAGTAGAAGAATATTTGACCTGACCTGCAACGCATCTGCGCAATATTACATACTCCGCTATGATTCTTCGTCGCGAAAACCAAAATATTTTGCTGTGGCACGAAGCTCGAGTCAGGCTTTAAAAGTTAGGGGTATGAGGAAAAGTACAGCGTTTGTTCGAGATAAATGAAGTGAGACATCTGTGGTTAGAGATATTGAATTCTTTACTTCAAATTAATGAGTGATGTATTTGTCTGCAGATCCTTTGAAGGAAAATTTTCACAACAAATGGTAACAACCTACCTTATTGCCATCAATCTTCATAACTGGTGTCCATCCACCATCTCCACATCCAAAATCTCCCATTTGGCAGAGAACGGAAGTTGTTTTCGCGCCAAAGTGTAAGGTAACCAACTCGCTGGCGTTCGACCTGCTCGGGGAACCAGATCAGTTTTAACAATTACATTGATTTTTATTTCTCCAAAATCTATTCGATCCAATAATTCTTTAATTGATGTTAAGTTTTACGCATTATAAATGACAAGAATAAGCCCTGAATATTTCATTGAATGAAATTAATTTGGAAACACAAGAGAAGATGATTTCTGATGTTTAACTCAACAGATAACCCTTTTTTTAAATTCTAAAGTAAGAATTTAATTTTATCATCGAAGGCATCCCAATCTAGAGTTAAGGATTGAATTAAATATCGAGTTTTTCCCTCTTCATTCATATAAAACAAGTTTCAAACCTACTTGTAGGAATTGTACGCATCTTTACAGGACTTGAAGCCTAAGTGTGAATTAAAGAATTGCGTGTTACAAATGATGTCACCGGCATGCAGCAAGGGTAGGAGTTTTCTTTAAATCTTCAACTCTTATTCGCCTGACACCGTTGAAGTAATTAACAATTATTAACTGAAGTGATGGTGAATATCCATTCCTTACAGGGGATGTACAGTGCTGCATCAAACGAGTTCCTTTGATAAATTTCAGTTAGGAAAGAGGTCAGTTGTAGGACCGACGCAATGATCAGTCAGTTGGCTATGTTGTCGTTAATAAACTAAAACCAAACTGCTCTTGGAGCAAGACAATCCCTGGATAGAGAGCCAAATTTTATGAAAATAAATGCTAATCCAACCTGGCAATTGCAAGTAACGTCTAACCTTTCTCGCAGAATTCTCCAACGAAGCCTTTTTTACAGAGGCACTCAAAGATGCCATTTTTGTAACTTGGTAAACAGGTCCCTTCATTTTTGCATGGCGATGAAGAACAGGGAGACTGAGGAGAAGAAGAAACATTTAATAGTTGAACAATGATAAGATATCGGTCTAGGTCTAGTAAGGTTTCAAATTAACCCCCCTCGTTAGCTCACGCCTTACAGCGAGGCTTTAGGCCTCTTAAGTACTTAATAGTACACACATTTACAATCTCCCAAAGAATATCTATAACCTTAATGAGGAAATGATGGGAGCTCTTGTTTCCAAAGAGTTCAGTGGAGTTTCTGTATTTGTCAGAAGAAAGCAGCTCGCACCAAAACGTTCCGTCCATTCCTCTAGACGCGGCCACGTTCACAGAAAAACATGACGTATGACTGAGGCACTTAAATGTACAGTCAATGCTATCATCCACTGTGTAGGATCCAATTCTGGGGACATTCAAATAACGGAATTCTTCTATCACAAACAGATGCTGTCGAACAGTTTGTGGGGGGCGGTAGGTATCATGGCCACCTGGTTGAGGCAAAAGGTAGTATATGTCAGCCAAACTCTACATAAGCAAATTTGGTCCTTTGAAAAAAATAATTTCTGCGAAAAAAGTCTTTACCTTAAAAAAAAATCAAAGTGCTCTGTGAGCAAACTCGTGCATTGACAGATGACTTACATGATTTTTGGATTTTATTTAGTGCTATCTGGTTTAATGAATTTTGTGGTTGATTGTCATATTTAGAGTACGAGCAGTAGTTCAGTGTTCGCTAATGTAGCATAGAAACAACTAACGTTGGGATAAGAAGGCATTACAATTGAAATGATCCTGCTATTACATTTGACAAGGGTGGATGATGTCATGTGCTTCAAACAATATCATTTTTGTTTCTGGTTCAACTGAAAAGGTTGGAAGTAAATGTGGGTGAAAAGTGAAATTTACTGTCTATCATGTAAATATTGGAAAATCAAGGCAATACTGTCTTAATGAAAACATTAATGTTTCCCTCTTTATCAAATGAGACAAACGGGAACGACTTTTGAGTGATATAACTAAGCCAAGACTGCCACCGTCACTTTGGAGTAGATTTTGGTCACGTGCTAGGCAACGTATAATCAGGAACAAGATAGGATTTCATTTCAGGCCAAATTTACCAATTTTGTGGTGTATAACTTTTGCAATTTAGTACTTACTATTTATTTTGAATCTTCAAATTGTCTTGAAACTTAAAAGAAAATTGTTCTTTAAAAATTCACTGAAAATCAGTAGCCAAAATTATTTGTTTAGGTGTTGTTTGATTTTCGTGTTAACCTGTAATTTCGTTAGTCGCCGGCACCTTTTGTTGCTTCAGACAGGAAAACACACGATACGAAATGTAATGATCGATTTTGTCCCCAATCTCACGCCATAACAGAAAAAGCTTTTGAACACCTGTAAACTTCGAGCGCTTCGGAGTTAGTGATATTTTTAATGAATCTTCGCATTGTTTTCAAGTTCAAGGATTGTAAATTACAATTTTGCGAAAAACGAAGGTTGGTCTCTTATTTCAGTGTGAATCCTTGCACGCCTGCCAGTCGCTAGCGCCGCTTGTTAAAATTAAAACGAAAAAAAAACCTCTTTTAAGATTATCATTGGCTTCTTTTTCACCCCACCACTATTCTTGGCAACAAAGGTCGCCATTTCGTTTGTTTTTTACTCACCAAAAACTACTAAATGCACTCAAAAGCCCAAAATCGAAAAAAAGTTTACAGGAATCGACCAATCGAGCGAGCGAGCGAGCGAGCGAGCGAGTACCATTCTCCACATCATATCTACAACTCGCTCTTGCGCATGCGCGCAATTCACGAGTTAAAAATGGTAATAAGATGACTTTTTGTGCAGGATCAAGTTCTCATTTTTTTCCTGCTTCTGCCATAGCAAATTTTCATAGAAAACATAGATTGACGCTCTTTTTTGTTTCACTTTGGGCTTGGGAATAATTTATGATTGGATAAATGAATGGTCCGTGAGTGGATGCGACTACTGTTTATATAAAGAAGGGATGTAATTCAGTATAACTCGCTAATTTGTGGATCGTGTGCTTACTTTCTCGGAAAATCAATTGAAAGGGATTTTTCGGACAGTTGACAAGCTTCCACTTCCCCATCTATGAAATATATGTTGGGGATTTCGTCGTTATGGATTCAAAAGCTGACTCTCTTACTTTATTTTTTGTAACCATGCAAATTATAACATTAATATTTTAACATATTAGAATTATTTGGATCTTTGTTACGTTTAATGTAGTAATTGCATTATTATTTTTAAACGGGCTGACGAATCATTTTTAAGATGCGCCATTTTGCAATTAAGAATGAAGACAGGGAGACTAGTTTTAATCATCCTGGATGCTTGTTATGTAATTTTCAGCATTATTTAAATATGAGGCATGACAGGGAATGCATAGGTGATGATGATTATTTTAGCAAAGTATACAATATACAATGCAGGTGCTCCCAAAATATTGGTTTTAAGTCTGAGTGCTCGCCGTTTTGCTGATGGCATAATTAACGATTGAGATTGGAGTCTTCGAATCTCACTATTTTGCGAGTAGAGAAAATAAAGTAACTGTAAGATTTCAATTTTCTAATCATATCGATTGAAAATGTAGGGAAACATGTAAGGGAAAAAAAAAGCCCAGCAGCTATATTTTACATAGTTTAAACGGAGTTGCGAAATAATTTAAAACAGGCTAATATTCAAATTCGTGAATAATTCACCAATGTCATTATGACGGTGTGAAACTCTTTATGCCCAAAGACAGAAGTTCTTCATGCATAGGGTTTAATTCAAACAACAGCATGAAAATTGGGCAGTATGTCCTATTCAAAACTGAAAACTTGCCTACTCTGAAACTGCATTGAGAGAGAAACCATTCATTCTATTCTGAAAACGTCTGAGGGTCGATTGAGGTCAGAGGTTTGAGGTTCGCTTCCTCAGTCATGGGGACTCAAAATTTTTTCTTTGTCCTACGCTCGTGACAAGACGAAAAGACATCTGAAAAACTGTTTAAATTCTTACATAACATGAATCTTCGGAGGATACATGCTCAAGATCTCCGGGGGTCATTTCATGTCGACGTCTTCGACAGCAAGAAAGACTTTCCAGGCAATTTTGATGAAACTTTTAAGGTAGATTCAAATGATTGGTTCCGAGTAGATTATACTATGTGAAGGAGTCTAAAAGTATATTAATTAGCTTCTAATCGTCAATGGTTTTATTTTTTCAATCCCACACAATGGTTAAATTATATAGAGACGGGCTACCCTATTTTTATAGGCAAATATTTAAAACCAGTACAAATTGGTCTATTCCAAATGCCAGCATTGTCCTTCTATAAAAACAACTTCGCTTAAGTTGGCTAAGAGCGGCTAAATTTTTTTCCATGCAAATTATCAAATTCCCGTCTGCAACACAACGAAAAGCTTTCACTTCCCCATCTATGAAATATATGTAGGGGATTTCGTCGTTATAGATTCAAAAGCTGGCCCTCTTACTTTATTTTTTGTGGCCATGCAAGTGATAACATTAATATTTTAACATATTAGAATTATCTGGATCTTTGTCACGTTTAATGTAATAATTGCATTATTATTTTTTAACGGGCAGACAAATCATTTTTAAGATGTGCCATTTTGTAATTAAGAATGAAGACAGGGAGATTAGTTTTAATCATCCTGGACACTTGTTATGTAATTTTAAGCATCATTTAAATATGAGACATGACAGGGAATGCAAAGGTAATGATGATTATTTAAGCAAAGTATACAATATACAATGCAGGTGCTCCCAAAATATTGGTTTTAATTCATAAATGTCGGTATGACAAAGTGAAACTCTTTATGCCCAAAGACAGAAGTTCTCTAAGCATAGGGTTTAACTCAAACTACAGCATGAAAATTAGGCAGTATCTCCTATTCAAAATAAAAAACTTGCCACTCAGAAACTGCATCGAGAAAGAAACCATTCATTCTATTCTGAAAACGTCTGAGGCTCGATTGAGGTCAGAGGTTTGAGGTTTGCTTCCTCGGTCATGGGGACTCAGAATTTTTTGTTTGTCCTACGCTCGTGACAAGACGAAAAGACATCTTTCTCTATTTCTTTACCGAGCTAAAACCTTACCATCTCTCTTATTCTATATTTCAAAACTGTTTAAATTTTTACTTAACATGAATCTTCGGAGAATTCATGCTCAAGATCCTCTGGGGTCATTTCGTGTCGACGTCTTCCATAGCAAGAAAGACTATCAAGGCAATTTTGATTAAACTGTTAAGGTAGATTCAAATTATTGGTTCCGAGTAGATTATACTATGTGAAGGAGTCTAAAAGTATATTAATTAGCTTCACACAAGAATATGGGCAAAGTTACTTCAAGGAAGGTTTACTTGAAGTAAGATTAAATTGGCTCTTTCAAATTTATGGAAGCAGGTTATTCCCAATCATTATCTTGCAAGATTGACTTAAAAATAGCTTTTTAATGGACTCCGCATACTAACCTTGAGAACCAACTGCCTCGAGGAGCAGACTAGGCCAGACAATGAACATCGAACAAGTAAAAACTAGAAACATGGCTTAAAAGGACGTAAGTCCACGAGGGCACAAAAGTATTCAATAAACAAAAAACGAAATGTTATTGAAACCATGATAAAGCTCATGCGTGTCGATTTCAACTGACCAATCAGATAACTTTTATGACGGCAGCTGCTGCGCACATTTCTTCTGTATATATCATAAGTTGATATGTTACGGGGGGTCTATTAAACTTTAATGATTGCTCTAACTTTCTCATATCTTGTTAAACAGATAAAGGAAAGCATTATGGTGAAGTACTTTGATAACGTTACTGACTGAATAAAGAACTGGGATCATCCTCAAAATCCTACACAAAGTTTCGTCCTTATCTAGTCTACAAATCATTGGTTGATGCCAATCACTTTTCTCGCGCGCAAGTCCTTTTCATATCGTCGCCTTGAGTTTTTATTTCCTCCTTTCTATATTTGATCGAATAATTTTTTATGACTTAACTTAAATGAAGGTTTGACAGCTGATACACATAGCAATTTTATAATTCGCAGCAGCTCTGAATAATTTTACAAGCAAATGAGTTTCAACGATGGGCATTGTTCAGTTTGACAGGTGTATTGTTATTCATGGCTACGCTAAAGACAATGGCTTTCTCACTTAAAAAGTGCCATATTTGAACGCAATTTCGACTACAAGTTTTCAAACTAAAATGGTTAAAGGTTCCCATCGGCCAATTTTCAAAC